CGCCCATCTACGGCATGATTGACGGCGGCTCGACGCGCATCGGCATGTACCTCGGCGCGGGCAAGCCCCAAGCCGCCAAAGCCACGAGCCACTTGGTGTTTTATGGTATTTTTGGTCTCTCGGTGGTCATCGTGATCCCGTGGCTGTGCGCGCGCTCGCACGTTGGCAAGATCTTCTCCACGGACGTCGCCGTCGTCAGTAGCATGGCGTCCATTAGCACGCTCGCCGCTGCGGGCTACATCATCCTCTCGCTCTTCTACTACGCGATGGTGCGTCGCTCACGTTTCGTCTCCGCGCAGGTTTTGCTCACTCCTAACTTGTCACGTAGGCGACGCTGCAAGCGCAGGCGCGGACACTGCCCATCATGACCTCGCTCTTCATTGGCGCGTGGGTCGTTGGCGTTCCCGGCGCGTACGCCTTTGGCTTCCCTGCCGGCCTTGGCCTTCTCGGTATTTGGGTTGGCATGTCCGTGGGGTACATTGTCACTACTGTCCTCGGTGTCTACTTTACGTACAAGTCCAACTGGGAGAAGGAGGCCAAGAAGGCTGTCGAGCGAAGCAAGGGGCGCGACGACGGCGATCACTTGGTGGTGGAGCTCGAGCAAAACCGACGCGCCAGCGTTGACGCTGGTTTCAACACTATGGTGACGCCCAAGGAATGAATGTTTTGTTCTTGAGGGAGGCAGTTGTCCATCTTTGCACAGAGCACCGTTCGCATCCTGAGGTCAGGCTGAAATGCCCGAAATACGAACTCTTGTGCCCATAGAGGGGACCAACGCCGCTGCACGTGCTACGGACGAGAGATTCTGGAGAAACGATGGCGTGATTCACTTTCATCGACCGAGAGAATGACGAGACGGCTGTAAATGTGGCAGTACGTGGTTAAACGTGGCGTACAGCACAAATAAATGTTAGGTGGGGCGTAGCTCCCGCTGTATGCTTTACCTGTCGACTTAGCATAGCATGCCGCGCCCTCCAAAGTACCCTCTACCACTGTGCCAAGAATGAGCAATTCCGTTTTGGAAAGCAATTTGTGCGATCACGCCGCACGGAGTTGGTGCCGTGGATATAAATATGGTACAAAATGGTTATTAATGGCTATTACCACCAATAAATATACGGCAATGCATAACTGCAGCTCTGGGCCTTCAACGTCGACGCCGCGCAGCATTCCGTACCCTCCAAAGTGTCCACTACTATTGTGCCGAATTTCAGCGATTCCATTTTTGACGACGTTCAGGGTGATCGCGCGGCCTGGCGTCCAGGTCAACAAACTCATATCCCATTGTCTGATATGCGATTGGTCAAAAAATTAATATAGTGGCCAATAGCAAGATATCCTCGTGTGCGTTTCACAAGCTCCAAGTGGTGCTGCACAGCGATGTCCCCATGAGCCGACAATCGACAGATACGTAAGGAGCTCCATTGCGTCGAAGCAACATTCGTCGTGAGCATGCTCTCATTAGCAAAGCGATTTTGTCTGTACCTCGTCGTTCGAGTGCTTTAGCGCCGAGAGCGTAGCAGTAGCAACGAACGTCGCGCGCGATTCACCGGAGTCGGCGTGGTCACTTGTAGATCTTGAGCATAGGGTGTTTCGTAGTCTGGCTGAGGCTGTCGAGGGCTTCTTGGGCCTGCCGACGCACGCAAGTACCTGGATCGTGATCGACGAAAAGCCAAAAAGCCGTGTCGGACGCATTTCGTCATCACACTCTTTGATTGAGGAGAAGATCAAGCTGATTGCAATGTGCAACAGTTGTAAGGCACTTCCGCGTTGAGAGGTACGTTCCGGTCGACATGTCGCCTCGTCGAGAGCGTCCTCAATGTCAAACCGCAGCGAGGTGGTGCAAAAGGCAGTCCCGGCGACGACCGCTACGTCGTCGTGCGCGCCGATGACATAGCTGACGTGGATGCGTGGACACAGTTGCGCGCACCTATTGAACTCGATTGTTGTTGTTCCACGCGCGAATTGCGCGCACGGGCACGCAGTGTGGCATCGTGCGCGGCGTATTCGTTGGGGACTCTGGCGAAATGAAGTGAAACGACCCGTCTTGAAACACGAGAGATCCACTATAGACTCGCAATAGGGACAAGAATTTGACGTCGCTCTCGCGGTCCTACCTGGTACGGAGACTGCGAGGCTCGACCAGATATGTTGGCACGTAGGGTGCGTGATTCTAGTCTAATATCGGATAACAGCGCGTGATATCCGGACATTCCATCAAGATGGCGGGCGGGCGGACCGGCAGCCGTGCGAAGAAGCGCAAGACCCGTGCGGCCGTACCGCTCTACACGCCACCAGCCAAGCAAGGGCCGAAGGAGGTCGCTGATGGCAAGGAGCAAGCTCCACCAGCAAAGAAGTCCAAGGCTGGGCCGAAGAACCCCAGCGCCGCGCTGGTCGTCGCGCCGGTCAAGCTGCCGCCAACGCCCGCTCCAGAGACGAACCCGCCAGTCGAGATCTCGTCCGGTCCAGGCGAAGCAGGCGCCAAGAAGAAAAAGAAGAAGAAGAAGACCAAGAACAAGGCTGTGTTTACGCCAGCCGTCTCTCCCATTGCCGCCTCCGACACGGCGGCGAAGATACCCCTTGCCGCAAGTGCCCCGGCCAAGGCGATACCAGTCAAAATGACTTCAGTCAAGGCGACTTCAGTCAAGGTGGCTCATGTTAAAGCAGCTCCGGTCAAGGGGGCTCCGGTCAAGGGGGCTCCGGTCAAAGCGATCTCGACAAAGACGTCGCCGGTGGACGCCAAAGTGCGCCACGTCGCGACCACAGCCGCGCCGGCGAGCGCAACTGTGTCAATGTCTAAAGATGCTGCAGCTCTTGCGCTGGCTCGAAAGCGCCGGTTTGCGTCCGACACTGGTGTCCTCCCGACCAAGAGCACGGTCGTGCTCTCGACGGGTGGGACCACGAAAAAGCAGAAGCGAGTGCCCCCGCAGCTTGCGCCCGCTGCCTCCAACCACGACGACGACGAGGAAAAGCCGCCTGCTCCGTCGTCGCCTGTGCGCGTCCCGCGCGTTCCAAGCCGCAAGTCGAGCCCCAAACCTAGACCGACGCCCATCGCCTCAATTCCCGAGCCGAGCGCCACTAGCCTTGAGGACGAGGGTCTGGCGTCGCGTGAAACGCCAATGGGCCCGAACGCGCACTCGCTTCTGGCAAGCGTCATGGATGCGTTTGAAAGCCACGATGTCTCGGTCTCTATGAACGAAGGTGCTCTCGGTCTCTCGTCGCTGGCATCCTCGCCACATGCTGAGAGCATCGACCATGACGTCTCGGATGCTCCGACCAATGACGAGGATGACGGCGATGCCGACGACAGCGACGTGATCGTGCTCGACGACAGCGACGACGAAGATCGAGACGACATGGCGCATCACGAGGACGACGACACCGTCACGGAGGGCAGCGTCGAAATGACCAACGACTGGGCATCCGAGGACGATGAGCTCGACGATCTCGACCTGCAATGGGCTGCGCCGTCGTCGATGGATGCGGTCTCGGGCTACAGCACGGAGATCAAGGACGTGGAAGACAGCATGGACGGCTCCGCGACGCGCGCCACGTCACCCAGCGACGACGACGAACCCGTGGTCGAGACTGCTCCGACCTTGCGCCTCGCATCACCCCGTCCCGTGAGCGTGCAGACAAGCCCGGTTCGCAGCCCGCAGAAACTGTCGCCGGTCGTTCACAATGCTCCACGCCTTGTCGTGTCCCCCGAAAAGAAGACGACAGTAGAGCCCAGCAGCCCGACTCGTTCATCTACCAGCGCCGACGATCGTACCAACTCGATGGTCACGACCACGCCGGTGCCAGAAGACGCAAGCACAACGTGGGGTGCGGCGTTCGGCACTGCCGCACCGCTTTACTCGGCGCAGATCGTCGACTGCTCGCCGCTAAGCACGTGGTTTCTCTCGCGCGGCCAAGCCAACTTTATCAAAGCGTCAGGGTCGTCTGCCGTCCATGCGTCGCCTGCTCCCACGAGTAGTCGTTCGCTGGCTGCAGTACCTACAACGACGACGACTGCCACAGACAGTGCGTTCTATGCGGCGCTCGCCAAAAGCCACTGGCGATCATGGTACGCCAAGCAGCCGGCCCCGTCCCTTTTGGATGCTCCGCTGGCCGACGTCCCGTCGCCTGTGCGTGTGGCTGTAGAGAACGCCAACACGCTTCATAGCGCCGCTGCGAGCACCTCGACACGGCGCGCAAAGGCGTTCGATGGTGTCATGAACGAGCTCCGGTATGTCGCAACGATAGTGATTATGGTGCTCATCAATACTAGGTCGGCGCGCGATGAGTCGTCGGCGTTTGAGAAGCGCATGATCGAGGTGCTGCAGGAAAAACGATGACGGGCGTCGACTTTAACGATGCGTATCGCTCCGTATTACCGTAACAAAATATAAACGACCGCGCTTACGCCTCGTCCGTCTTGAGCGTCGAGATCGCGAGCACGGAGCGGTCATCTTGGCGCTGAACGAGCAGCGTGCGCTTGGAGGTTTCGATGCGGATGACTGGCGACGCGTCCGTGTCGCGCCCGAGGTCTTCGGCGCGATCGGCGGCGGCCGCCAAGCCGCCGAGGCCATTGTGGCCTCTGCGGGCAAGGTCGCCATCGACGGCGAGCAGCAGCCCCTTGGCATCATGCCACGCCAGACCAGAGACGGCTTCGTCCGACATGCTACAGTGACAGCGTGAAGCTAGAGTGATGGCCACAGCCCACGTACATCTTCTCGACCGCAGCTTGCAGCTCCATTGCGTCCGGCCTTTCTTTCGTTTTGGCGAGAAAAACCGGATAAATGAATTTTAGCCAATCCAAATGCATTTTTGGCATGTCGTCCTTCCGATTGGCCAACGCAGTGCACACCACCATGCATCAATCAATCAAGTTCATGCGCATGATAAGCACGTGAGCTTGACGTCGACCTACCCACCAGCGCTAGGTTAAAACAATCACGTAGACTACCGTGTTGCTCAAGTGCTTGTACGTGAAGGCATCCATCGCGTCGTTGGTCGATCTAGAAACTCGGGCACACAGCAAAAATACATAATTATAAATTCTGCGTTTTTCCAGCCGTTCCGCAAGCGAAACCAACCGACAAGTGGCCGCGTCCTCCGAGGCGCGGCCGTCGGTCATCCAGGCCGCGGCAGAAGGAGGCCTCGTCAGTCGACGCCTTCGCCTGCTGAGAGCCGCGCCATCAGACC